GGTTGGTTTTAGGAAGTCACATGACCACCCCAAGTGGTAGGGTCTGACCAGGTAATTGTCCATAGGAGGGGGAATGTAGAAGCAGAATCTCGGCCCCAAAAGGAGGCTACTTAGGGAAGTTTTCAGGCTTTTGTCTTTGCCTGGCCCGTCACTGCCAGGAGAATGAACCAGAGACCCCAGGGAAAGGGCGTTCTCTGGCTGGGAGGCTTGGCTGAAAGAAGAACAGTTTCAGGGTAAGTTTGTGCTGAGCTTTGAGTGACAGAACTCGCTCTGCATTTCCTGTTAGTTTCAATCTGTAATCGACTTTGCTCGGCCTGTTTTCACCGGCAACCACTTCGCTGCTGCTGTTTGTACTGAATAAAATCACTTGGGTTCACTGTCCAGCCCAGGGTCAGTAATTGTTCCAGGGGAGCAATCAGAAAATCCTTCTCCTGTCACTGTAAAGGGGGCTGTAACCGGCCGTGCCTCCCCCCATGGGCACCTCCAGCTGCTCACTCTGGGGGTCACCTCTTCCGCCCTGAGTGCCCCTTTTCAGCCAGTCTGGCCCACGGGTACCTATTTTTTTCTCCACCTCTGGGTAATGCCCTGCCACAGGGCCCCCACATCTAGGATCCTCCCCTTCTGGGGGCCCCCAAACCCTCTCCCCTTGTTGCCTCAGGGACCCACTGCCAGGCTTCATCTAGCCCCTGCCTTGGGGCAAACTGCCGCCTGACATGAACACTCAGCATCGGCCAGGGGGTGGGGTCCTGCTGCCTTCTGCTACCCCAGCTGCCCCCTGGTGCCCTGAGGCCTTGTGCCAGGCCCTGCAGCCTGGGACCTTGCCTGGCCAGAGCTCCCCAGCCCTGCTCTAAGTCAGGAAACCTCCAGCTTCCCTGGCAGCCAGATTCCCCCCACTGCAGGAGTGTGTCTGAGTCTGTGTCTGCTCCTCTCCGGAGCCTTTATTTACACTCCCCTCAGCTGGGCCTGATTAGCAAGGACCTGCCTCAGCTGTGGGGCTTTGCTCTCTCCTCTCCCAGGGCTGGGTCAGTGTGGGGCAGACACCACGTCACAGGGCCTTTATTTACACTCCCCTCAGCTGGGCCTGATTAGCAAGGACCTGCCTCAGCTGTGGGGCTTTGCTCTCTCCTCTCCCAGGGCTGGGTCAGTGTGGGGCAGACACCACGTCACAGGGCAACCGGATTGATTTGGGGTTCTGAGCCCAGCTGGCCGTTGGCTTCCTGGAAGCTGGGCCCCACAAACTGCATTTTCCTTGGGTCTGAAGAGTTTCAATGTCTATGCTGCTCTGTGTGTGTGTGTGTGTGTGAGAGAGAGCAAGTGAGAGAGCTCTGTGCCTTGGCTGGGGAGGGCAGATCTAGCCCAGCAGGACTGGGTGCTGAGAAGCCCCAGAGTGCTAGGAGGCGAGTGTCATTGGCCTTGTCAGCCCTCTGGGAAGCCCCCCCAAGGGGTCTTCTGTGACCCCCCCCGGGCACACTCAGCCCCTCGGGAGGAGCCTCATTTCCCCAGCCATGAGCATGTTTTCCAGCCAGTTGTTGAGGAGAAGCCCTGTGCACTGGTAGAAAGGGGGGGCACAGGGGTCCCGCATTGTGGGGGGAGCCCCCAGGAGGAAGCCTGCTGGTGGCTCCCAGGGCGTGTGTGGCGAAGCACGAGCTCCAGCAGCCAATCCGCTGTCTGCCTGCAGAGCTCTGCAATTGCACCGGGACACCGAGTCATCCGACGGCTCCAGCCCCAAGGAGACAACTGTGAAAATGGGGGAGGAGGCTTTTCCCGCACTCTCTTCTCTCTATTTTGAGACCGTTCGTTTGTTTGTGCCTTTGCCTGTTTGTTCAGAACTGCTCCTAGCCGGTCAGAGCAGGGACCCACATGTGGGAGGCTGCTCCCTCCCATCATAACGCAAAGCAAGGGCAGGGTGCGGTCGTGCCAGGAAAACGGGATGTGCCTGGAATGGGATTGCTTCTCATACACCCATACGGAATAGAGACAATCACCAGGCAGATGAAATGGGCCCCCTCCCTTTGAGCCTGTCCCAGCTCTGAGCTTCTCGCCCCTCCCCAGCACCCTTTAGGGGCCACTTTACAGAGTCCAAGGCCGCCCACTGATTAGCAGAGCGCCCACGGCCAGCAGCCTGTTTCTCCTGGTGGTGCACATCTGCACATGCCCAGTGAACATTTATTCTGCACAGGGATGGAAAAAATTAGAGTCTGCAGCCCCTCACCTAAAGCCCAGAGCGCCGGAGCTCCCTAGGGTCTGAAGCCTGGATCCCTAACCTCCCTCCCCCCCCAGCCACGGCCCCCACACCATGGCTGAAGCCCTGAGCCACAGGCGACGGTGCCTGCGGGGGAGGGGATGCAGGGAGGGGGATGCAGGTGCAGCCTGGCAGGGGCACAGGCCACCTCCTGCCTGTTTGCCTCTCAGATTGGGCTGCCGCCTTGAAACGGTCACTGACCACTTTTGTTTCAGAAGGTCGGGGGCTGTGCCTAGGGGCACTGGAACAAGCGTCCAGTGGGGGTGCTGAGCCACTGAATCAAACTGGGACTCCAAACTGCAGCCCCCCGTTCCACCACCTGGGTGCCTTGGGGCGCACAAGCAATGCATCTGGCCCTGACCTGACCCCTGCTGGAGCTGCTAGAAACACCCAGCCTAGGGGAAAGGCTTCTGATTGGCTGCCCCTGCATGGCTGGGGAAAGCAGCCCATCAAAGCTGCCTTCTGCCACCCACTGTTAGGAGAGGGGGGGCGGAGAGGCACTTGGGGAAAGGGGCAGAGCGGGGACTGTAGAGGACAGAATCGATGTGGGGCTGGGGCAGAGGGCGGGGCTGCAGGGCAGAGGGGGCACAGAGCAGATGAGGGTGCCGGGGGTCGTTCATTAACTGGAATCCTCGAATACAGGAAGACACAGCGAGGTCTCTGCACCAATAGCAGCCCTTTATGCAAATGAATGGGAGCTCATCTGGGCCCTCTAGCAAGAGGGGCAAAGTCACATGACACACTCTTAATTTGCGGGAGCTGAAACAGCTGGAACCCCGCCCCCTTGCACCCCACCCCGGAGGGCGAGAGCCGTGTGCTCCCCATGCAGCCAATCACAGCGCCGCTACGGTTCCGTGGGCACCGCCCACACATTCTAGGTACTCGTGTTAGCAACACCGCCCTGCCCCGGGAGACCGTCTGGGCTACGACAATCTTGTGGCCCCACGATGAGGGAGGCCGCTCGTGCAGCCGCTCACTAGCCCAGGTTGCCCATTGCTGGTCTGACCTCCCTGACATTTGCCACTAGCTGTCCCCACTGCCTGTTGCGTGGCCCTTACCCCTTTGGAGCACGCGGCTACTGTGCCCGGGGGTGCGGCTCCACACGCCCTCTGACACTGCCAAGGAAACAGGACCCCGGCGCGCTGGAGGATGTGCCGGGTTGCTCACGCCCAACCCTGGTGTATTGAGACAAGGCAGGGAAGGGGGCGAGATGTGGCGTTCCCCCAACCACGCAGGCATCTCCCTCGTCCCCGTGCCACTGCAAGAGATTCTGGCTGGTCGCCAGGGAGGCTGCGGCCGGACGAACATGCTGATCGGCCAGAGCGATGACAATGAAGACTACCAAGGCCACAGCTGCCAACCTTGCGTCTCCTTTCACTCCAGCGCAAGCCCCCAAGGTCCATGCACCTGCCGCCTGACCCGCCCAGAGGATCTGGCCAGCAGCGGAGCTGACGACACTCCACCCAGAGCCCTCTACTTGGACAGGCAGGCGCTCAGCTCCCTTTCCAGCCCCTGGACGAACTGCTCGTTCAGGAAGAGCAGCTGCCCATGGGGCAGGAACTTGCTCAGGATGAGCTCGGTCTTGTCTGCCTTGAGGACCACGTTGCTCCCCTGGCTCAGCAGCTTCAGGTGCTCCAGCAGACACTTGGCCACCAGGCGCAGGGTGTTCTCGGCCAGCAGCAGGTTCTCCTGCGGGTCGCACACCAGCGCGAAGCCCAGAGACAGCACCGCCAGCCAGAGCACTGGCTTGTCCTCGCAGAAGGGATCCCCGGGCGGGAGGCGGAAAACCCCGGACAGGGCGTCCTGGAGGGAAATGGGCTCGTCGGGCAGCTGGATGAGGAAGTCAGAGGCAGGACGCCCTGAGGCCTGGTGCAGCAGCTTACAGGCCGAATCCACCTGCCTGGAAACGGGAGAAATGCAGAGAGAGAGAGAGTCACAGTCCTGTTATACAGAGGTGGAAATAAGAAACACGGCCTGTCTGAGAACAAGATGCCTCATGCTGCAGAGTCATCCCCCAGGGTAGAGCCAGAGAAGCGACTATTCCCCTTTATTCGGCTCTGGTGAGGCCACATCTGGAGTATTGTGTCCAGTTCTGGGCCCCCCACTACAGAAAGGATGTGGACGCATTGGAGAGGGGCCAGCAGAGGGCGACCAAAATGCTGAGGGCTGGAGCACATGCCCTATAAGAAGAGACTAAGGGATTTGGGTTTGTTCAGTCTGCAGAAGAGAAGAGGGAGGGGGGATTTGAGAGCAGCCTTCAGCTCCCTGAAGGGAGGTTCCAAAGAGGCTGGAGAGAGGCTGTTCTCAGTGGGGGCAGATGCAGAACGAGGAGCAATGGGCTCAGGTTGCAGTGGGGGAGGTCTAGGTTGGATATTAGGAAAAACTATTTCCCTAGGCGGGAAGCACCGGGCTGGGTTCCCTGGGGAGGGGGTGGAATCTCCATCCCTAGAGGTGTTTAAATCCCGGCTGGACTAAGCCCTGGCTGGGATGATTGAGTTGGGTTGGTCCTGCTCTGGGCAGGGGGCCGGACTCAATGACTCCTGAGGACTCCTCCAGTCCTGGGATTCTCAGATTCTATGAACGGGTGGGAGCCCCATGGCTTGGGAAGTTTGAAACCAAACTAAACAAAGCCCTGCAGGACAGGCCTGCGCGGGGCTGGAGGGCGTGTGCCAAGCCTTGCCCTCTGGCATGGCGCAAGAGAACAGCTGCAGTAGTCCTCTTTCTAGAGAGCTCCCTGGACATTCACATTAGCTCTGCTGCCCAGCAGGGGTAAGGGACACAAGGCGTGCCCTCGTCTAAAGGCTGCGGGGGCATCTACCCTACCAGGAATAACCCACAGTAGCGCATCAGAGGCCAGGACAACTGACTAGGGCAGGAGTGGCCAACTCATTACAGGCAAAGAGCCAAAATAGTGGTGGACATAACACAAAGAGCTGAGGGGAAAAACTTGTCAAGCAAAAAGAAAAAAAAAAGACACTGCCCCTTTAAATGAAAACTTTTCAGCCACATATGGCTCGTGAGCCAGAAACATCTTATCGGTGCCATTTTGCTTTGCTGCACCAGACAGCTCCCCAGCACCCAGTGAGCCCTTTGTAGGGGCATAGGGGTGGTTTCGCAGGCCACGGGGTATGCTTCGCGCGCCACACTTTCTGCAAAGAGCTGCGGGTTGGCCACCCCTGGACTAGGGTCAGAGAGCTCACCGACCGGGCCGAAAAACAGCAGCTTGGACATTCAGGCTTGGGCTGGAGTCTGGGCTCCAGAACATCAGAAGGGTCCCGCTGGGTCGGAGACGGGCAGCCCAGCATCCAGTCTTCTGACAGTGGCCAATGCCGGGTGCTTCCAAGGGAACAAAGTTACCCAGTGATCCATCCCATCACCCGCTCTGGCAGTCAGAGGCTCGGGACACCCGCAGCCTGGGGTTCAGTCCTGGCCATCTCTCAGACCCCGTCAGTCGTCTCTATTGCAAGCTGAACAATCCCGTTGTTTTCAGCTCTCCTCAGGCAGAAGCTGTTCCATCCCCCCTCGGCGTTTTCGTTGCCCTTCTCAGCACCTTTTCCAATTCTCCCAGAACGGCACTGCTATTCAAGGCGTGGGCGTACTGTGGACTTATACAGGGCCATTACGATATTTTCTGTCTTCTCATCCCTTTTTCTGCTGGCCCCCCACACTCCCC